CTGTTAGTTCCTCAAAGAGGACTGTGGTCTTTTTTTTTTGTTAACATTATTTATTTTCTTTTCCTTTTGTCTTCTCCCCTTGATTTGCAAAATTTAGCTCTATTTATAGAGCCTTTGAAATTCAAATCTCATATCTCTTAAGATTTTTTTTGTGAAAAATTTAGATCTTGTTCGGTGATTTTTGGTCACCGAATATCAGGCTGTCAAATTAAGTTATGTCGGAGAGAAAAAAAATCACTCTGATAACTTGATTTCAGCTGTCAGAGTTGAAATCCAAGACTTTTTTTTATTTTTTTTATTTTTTTTAAAAAATATTAATTAATATTAAATTATATAAAAAAATTAATTAGTCAAAATTGATGTCTACAATTCAAGATCTATGTTATTTTACTCCAATTAAACAATAAAAAGTCTACAATAAGTTTATAGCATCCAAGCATTTGCAAGTTGATTTCTTATAAGCTTATATTATTATTTTTCTATCATATGTCATAATCTCAAATCATCTTATTGCAATTAATTAGATTAGTATACAGGATGCATATATTTTTTTGTTTTATCTCTTTCATAATTGGTTTATAAAATAATTAATAAAAATATACAAATCAATAACTAGATATAAGTGGCTAGGACTTAGGAGAGTCAAATTCAATAAAAAATAAAAAATTACTAAACATTCATAAACAAATTCATAAAAATTTGCTCAACAATATAAAAACTATATAATATAAAGGAGTTGTAATAAAGCAAAATAAAAGAAGAGAGGGAAAAAAGAAAAGAAAAAAAAAGCTGTTACAGTTTACGGCTCCTCGGGATTGCGGTGCACGTGCACATTTAACAAAAAAACATCGACTTTGATCAGATGATTCTGACGTTCACACGCCAGACGAGTGGCAGTGGCCTATTATTTTTTACACGTGCTGGGTCCCATGTCACCTCCGTTCACAAACGATAAATTAACGGTCATCTCATCCCCTTTAAGCACCTTAATTTATACTCCTCTTCCATCCTAATAAGACATTTTTTTATCAATTTTTTTATATTTTGATATCTTATTATTTTATATTTATTACTGATAAAAATATAAATATATATTTTAAAAATTATGCATGAAATAGTTTTAAAATATATGTTTTATAAAATTTAATTAATTATAAAATATTTAAAATAGTAACTATCAAATTTAGATAATTTTGATTCCAAAAAAAGTTAATTGGAATAAAGGGAGTAATTTCTTTTTTTTAGAAAAAATTTTTTGTTGAAAAATAAAGCCAAAATGTTAGTAAGAAGTAAGAAACATACAAGACTATGTTCAAATTAATTAAAATAATGTTGGGTATTATGATTTTTTATTCAAATATTAAGTGTGAATTTTATTTTTATCTTATTCCAAATGGAGTGGTAGCATAGTTGTGATGAATTTATATATGGACAGTAAAATTCATGATCCATACTTTGATTTGAAATGACTTAGAAGCTATTTTCCTTTCAGGAGTATTAGAATAATAAGGAAAGGATGTGATAAGTTTATAATTAAAATGATTAATATGTAATCACATAATTTCTTTTCTTTTCCAAGACTAAATTAAAAAAAAAAGTAAAAATTGGTGTAATATAAGAATCACTTTTGCAATGAGTTTTTTTTTTTTTAACACAAATGAGCGATAATATTAATATTTGAATCATAAATTTATTGAATGTTATCTTTTAAAATAATGATTATATAAACTAATTGAATTAAATTCTAAATTTTTTTATCAAAATTTTCAAAAACCTCAATTCAAATTAAAACTCTAATTAAACAAGCATTTCATAACTTTTAAGCAATCACTAGGTATTAGGCTATTATTAAGAACTTTCTAATCTTTTAAGGGATACTTTATTCGGAAGAATCTGAAATTTTCCTTCGAATTTGTACTAGTGGGAATTTCCTATGTAAGTCGTCCAAGACTTGAGACTACTATTTGTTTTTGCCTCATCAAAAATTAATTGGACTATTACAAGGCTCCTAAACACACAAATACTAAGCTAAGTTTGAAATGTTGTTGGAATGATATTTCAACAAGAAATTACGAAGATCCATGCATTATTATGTCTCAACTGTTTAATGAAATCTTCCATGATTTTCAACCGGCGTTTTGCTTCTTGAATTTTTATATCTCAACTTTTCTAATCAAAATTGAACAATCCATCTTTTCTTGTCTTCCCCGAAATGACAAGCCGTTCAAATACCAAAATGTTTCTAATGATATATAGAACTTGGAAAAAGAAATTCTAGAAAAACTACAAGTTTAAGTTATAAATAGCTGATCTCTTGAAAAACTAGTGTCTAATTTGTTTTTGTAGGGTTTGAGGAAGGACAAGTTTTAGTTGATGGACAGAGACCATGTCGGAGAATGATGCTAACATTTGTATCCTTGTAAAGAACAGTCAAGCCGACACCCACGTTACATATGGGACCATTTTTACGTGTATATATGGATGCAATATTGCAAGAAGTCTAGGGTTTCTTTATTCCAATTACTTAATTTCTATATGATTCTCTCAAATTTAGTAGAAAACTTGTTTTCCATAACTTAACCACAAAATATAAACCCTAAAGTATCTAACACATTTAAAATGTCTCAATATGGCCTATAATCTCTTATAAAAATAGCAAGAATCCGACAAAAAACCGTGGGTAGATATAATTTGATCAAAATTCCTTCACCATGGATAATGTCCTTATCAAATTAAGTTCGATTTTTATATGTTTTGATAAGTTCATTTGATCAGTTATTACTTACTCTAGACGTTCAAATATCAATTTCGATCCCAAACATTTCAAGTAGCAACGAAAATGTCGTTGCATGATGATTGGGAAACACATGCGCATGGAATTAAAGCTTCAAAATTTCAGAAGTATACATAAATCTTGTCGCTTTTTCCTTTGACGTGTGATTAGGATGGTTTAAGTCATTCAAGTTTTATAAAATTTTGGATGTGCTTTGAATAGGGGGCAAGATTTAAAAGTCCAAACCATAAAATACGGGCCAATGTATATCATCTCTAGGTAGCTTAACAGTTAGGGCCATGAATCGTCATAGGGTTAAGCCAGAAGCAAAAAAAAAAAAAAAGGTGAAAGGGATGGTTTTGTTATTTTCTATTGAAGGAAACTGATGGAGAGGGTTTTGTTTTTCCTTGACTGATTAAAATTTGTGGATAAGAAAGTTCATCACAGGTGGAGACAACCTGGAGAAGCCAATTGGCTTCAGTCTAAGATACAATTAATCACTTATTTGACCAAAAAAGATAACCTGTAATAATGGCAAAATCTGGTCCTACAGTTTTGTCTGAGTGTGATATTAGTACGTTTTTATTTTCTTCAAAGCTGAGAAATTTTTTCTTGGTATTGAGTATTGACTATTGAAGAATGGAATAGCCCCACTCCCCCACCACAACTCTTATCTATCTTCATTGTTTTATTTCTTATATGAAAATTTCCAGCATTTTGTCTGGATCTTCCACTTTTTGAAGTACACAATACTTTCTTCCGACCAGAAAACAAAAATGTTTTGCTCGTTGCGTTCTTAATCAGCTTAAGATAATTAATACATATATACTTTCCTGATGTTTCTGAAATCGGTTGGCAATGTGTCCAAAAGTGTAGTCTTGACCAACCTGTTGCTTAATGTAACATGATAAAATATCGATATAATTAATGTGATTAAGCCTGATTCCCCTAACTTTTCCTCCACATAACAGTTGCTCACTCTTTGTCTAGCTTTTGATACAAAAGTTGATCCACCATTTGCTCTAAAAATAACAGAGAAGAAAAGCATTTCCAAACAACTTATTTAAGAAACAAGTAATGGAAACTAAATCTAACATTTCTAAATATTAAAACCAGCCGTTCAGGCGAAATGATAAATTTTTTTTTGGTCAATCAAGATTTGATTTTTGTGAAAAGCATTTCAAAAATAAATTTCTGCACACACCAAAATGGTGTAAAGAATGCATTTTTAAAATTTTCTAAAAATTATAATAAAAGAAAATCTAAAAATACTTCTTGAATCTTGATCATATTTAAAAATAAATAAATAAATAAAGACTATTCATAGATCAGAAGTAAGAAAAAATTTGTCATTTCTTTGAGGATGAAGACAAACAACAAACGTGGAAGGACAAGTTTAGATCAGTTGAGTGTTTCTTTTCTGACATTAATATGATATATCAAATAGGACACATCCAAAAGTGTAGTCAATAGAATTCAATTTGAGCTTAATTTTATGGAGGTTTCTTTTTTTTTTTTAATTATTGTTAGGTACAAACTTTATGCCAATGTAGATGGAGGAAAATGAATCCTTAAAGCAACAATCTTTTTACTGCACCAAAGGTTTGTTTATATGGGCATTTATGCGTATGAGGCGTGGATTTTCCACTTTCCCTTGGATGCTAAGACCACCCTAGGGTTAGCCTAAGGGGAAATTGGATCGCTTCCATTCTTGCTCAGCCATACCTTTTTTAAGGTAGGCAATGGTGGGGAAGCGTGTTATCATTATTTATGGGTATACCGTATACTATCATATAAAATTGGATAGCTTAGATTTCGTCATAAAAAAGAAAATGCAAGAAATTTACATGCTGAACTTGAATTTAGAGTGTTAATCAATGGAAAGTTTGATAAATATTTCATCAACAAATTTGATTTTTGTTTGTTTTTTAAATTTAATAAATAATTACAAATAATATTTTAAAATTCATAATATAATTAATTAAATAAACAAATTATGAATATAATAAAATTCGTTTATATTCAATTTATTTATGTTCTAAAATATAACCAAACAAAATGATTTGTTTATGTTCAAGATTAATTAATTAAATGAAACGATCACAAACAATATTTAAGTATTCATTAATTAAATGAAATAATCATAAACAGTATTTTAAGATTTGTTAATTAAATGATATAAACAAATTATAAATATAACAAAATTCATTTATATTCGATTGCTTACTTCCTTACAAGAATTTTTGTAGGCTATAAAAGCACAATTCACTAGGATATTTCTGGAAGAATTTCTGCACTTGATTGCAGTTGAAAAGGGGAGGGCTTTATGCTAAAGCAGGCGATAGACTACAGAGTACGGGTTAGACCTTAGGAGGCAGTTCCCAAGAACAAATATTGGCAATGTAAGATGGGTTTGTCAGTAGACTCAATGCCTTTCACAGCATACAAAATGAAGTTGGCTTGATATTATAAACTGGCTTTCAAGCAGACATTGCAAGTTTGCAACTTCCTTATTCAAGATCAACTAGACAACGATTAATGATTTCAGTTGTAAGAAATCTAGGAATGTAAACACATTAGAAACTGTTTAATTTCTTCTGGACTATACCTTCTTCTGCAAAAAATGCTTAAAAACTGCCTCAATATGATCATACCGATCTGAATATATAATTATTTGATAATTTACAGTGTATAAGATGTGATGTTCGAGCTTTTAGCCTGTTCCTACCTGAAAATGCCTTCATCATGGGACATCGGCAAACCTTTTAGTACATCTCGTAAAGCATAATAGTGGCTAACGCATCTGTGGTTTGATATTAAGTTGCTTGAGAGCACTATCTTCTGGAAATGTTCACCTGGATGTCTCCTCCAAAGACTGAAACATTCCCTGTGCCTGTCATCGCTGCTTCCAGCATGATTTTCTACATTCCTCTTCAAATAGTAAACAGTCCCGGGAATAAATAACTCCTCTGACATTGTATAGGCACCTTCCTCTTTCTGAAGTACTGCAACATTTTTTGTTTCTGATTTAGAGGCCGAAGGGACTGACGTCGATTCCTTTCTAAAGGGACCGTCTGTTCAAATAGATTGAAACAGCATTTGTTAAAGAAAGACGTGAACATCTGAAATTAGTAGCAAGGACAGGTGAAAATGGAAGGTATACTAAATGATGCAAATAGGATCCAAACACAATCCAAATACTCTTTGGTATAAAAGCTACATCGTATGCAATAAGATACTGTTTAATGCATATTCTAAAAGCAGGAGTTCAGCTTCATTAATGTACATGACCCAACACCAAAAACCTTCTCTTAAGAAAACCCATTAGAGCTTGTTCTTATGCATACCTTCTCCAAGGTGAATACATACCTTACGAGAAGCTAATAAGTATAAAGGAAATACGGGAAAAGAATACAAGTCAATTACAATGAAGATATCAGAGACATACATAGCAGGTTTGAAAACATAATCAGATAGAAGGAAGATTTCCAAGTAATGAGATATCCAATTTGGTGCTACAACAACTGGATTACAGGTGCTACACCTACCAGAAGATTCTCTTTTGCTTTTGAACTTTGCATAATCAGCAAGTTTCCTAGCAACATCTTGTACAGAAGAAACAACCAGTTTGGCATTTGTGACCAAATCTACTATACTTTTCCAGTCTGCCTTCTCCACTACGCTCATCCTATTAAGACAAGGGAATGCAATTAAATTCTTATTGTCACTAAATTTCAATGTGCATGTAAATCCCAGCTTGAAAAACCAGAATACCTTTATGTGACAATGAATAGCCACCTCATTACAAGATATGTAATAAAAGTTATAATATATAAGAAAAAGACCAGTTGCCTGATGCAGGTGATTGTAGCCATTTCCCCTTGCTACAGTGATACATTCATGCACACAAGAAATCAACGATTTCTTGAACAACTGGAGAAAAACTTCAAAGAACAAACAGGATAAGTGCACCGCAATACTGCATAACCTACCCCTACCCCATAGGTATTCCCAAACCATTTATACTTTTACCAGTAAGGTCGGGGAATTTCCCAAAGAATTTATAGTCTTATACCCAAGGGGTAGGGGGTGGGTTATGGGGTATTGGGTGCACTTATCCAGTTGTAGTTAAGTACACTTATTCAAGCCAATATGTAAAAGTAGCACTTTTATTGTGAAAATTTTCCCTTTACATCAATACTAAATTGGGTTTGTAGCATTTCCACTACTCAAAATGCTTTTGACCTCCAAGTAAGCAACTTATTTCACATGCTTCTTTTGTTTCAAATCCCATAAATGGAACTTCAGAAGGAAAGTTTATATGTTAATTAGATAATGTTGGCATGCCTACCAGTCTGTTTGAAGAATTTCATTCCTCAGCCTTGCTATAGATGCTGCACTTAGTCTAGGTACAATGTCATCCTATATGCAAGGAAAAAGAAAATAAAAAGAAGTCAAAAGATATACAACGAAAATTACTAAACAGAGAAACCCAATTTAATTGAAGGAAATATTCCAATAAAATAAGCTTGTACGATTTACAAGTGGATGAATCTGGCTTACCTGCATTACAATGGTTGTAACGAAATCAGAGCAACTTTCAGCAAGGTCTTTGGAAACACAAGGAGAAGTTGCATATCCAACAGCAGAGACAATGTCGGGGCTAAAACCCAGCTCCATTTTTGACTTTTTACGAAGCATTATTGCCAGTAAAGAAGCTGTTGCAGCTCCAAGAGAATGTCCCACCAGCCTTAACCTAAACCCCTGTAATGAATTAGGCTCACTACGACTACTAAAATAGCAATTTGGGTTTAAAATTAGCAAGTATGCAATAAAGGAAAGGGAAAGGATGTGAATCTAAGGGGGGGGGGGGGGTGTTAAGAGAAGCCTAAATTAGAATTGAAATAGACGAAACCAGACACAATAAAATTTAACCACCTCATATTTCTCCATGCACTTTCTTATCGTTCCTATTTCATGGTGAAGAAACCAACGAGCAGCTTCAGCTGTCCCGAAGTGAGTTGAATAGCCTTCAAATGTGACCTCTCCATCACTTGACAAAACAATATCAGTAATAAGGTCATAGACAGTATGAGTTCCGCGGATTCCAACTATTACAAGTTTCTTTCTAGGATCAACTCCTATATAATATCCAGGCCTCATCACACTGGAGTTCTTTACAAATTTCAAAACATTGCTTTCTCTAAGCATGCTGGTCCTCGCAAGGACGGAAGCATTATCCTTATAGCACCCAGTCGCTAATTCCATATGGTATATCAGATCTTTGACCTACATCACAAAACCATCTTCATTAGGCTCTTAGTCATACCAGTCTAAAAATCTAAAAACTCTTTGCAGAGGCACTTAATACAAGGGTTCAGCAATTACAATTGAATCTGATGTGATCTTCACACCCTTAACATCCTCAAATGGATTCAAAGACGCCTGACGAAGGTAAATAAGATATAGGCCTATGGTAAGATCTGTCAAGCTCCAATCTTCTATTCCAATCTTACTCCGATGAATGATTGATATGATTTCTGAGATTGATCGAGTGCTGGGCGGGGGTTTATCCCCTAATTCATTTCCTGCAATTTTCAGTTTAAATTGAATCGACCCTTTTAACCACAAAGCCAGAATTGGCAAAAGAAAAAAACTAGAGTGACTAGTCGCTACTCAAAATGCATTGAAACTTCATAACTAGCTTATAAATGTTTATATTATTGATCTCGAGTTTCAAACCACATAACACGGTAATCAATTTGGCAAACAAGATTTCGAGACAAGAATTGACCTAAAACAGACCTATTGGTAGACCCCGCCTACACAATTGCAGAGCTGGGTCAAGAACCTTTGTGAGCCAAGCAAGCTCGAATTTCCACTTGGTAGCACCCACATAATCTTCACCACCAGAAGTATATTTGGATAAGCTGGTATCATAACCAGCCTTCTTATCAATTTCAGGCTTTGAGGGAACTTGAGTCACATCTTTTGCATCTTTCTTTTTATTTAGTTCTTTTCTTCCGTCTGCTTTTGACCATTGTGCCTGGCAACGGTTAAGAATACCGTACACAAACCTAGCATAGAGTTTTTGTCTTTTAATCAAAATGTTGTTATAGTCTGCACCCCAGCGAAAAAAACACAAAGAAACCCAAAATTAGAAAATGAAAAACAAAAAAGATTGAAGGTTTCCACTCTGTTGCCATCAAAACTACACAAAAAGTAGAGATCTTTACTAATAGTTTGGCATTTAATCAGAAACCCAGTCAGAAATTGTGGAGATTGAGGTGTTATTTGTTTTGACTCCATTTCTTATGATTTATCGTACCTCATAATTGTAAATTTAAATTTTTCTAATAGATCATTTTATATTTTTATATTTTTTTAATGTAAAATTGAAAACATCACAATTTCTTGTTAAATGATTATAAATTTTTTTTATTATTTTAAAATTTTATTCGTGTTATACTTCGATATGGGGTGACAAAAATTACATTAAAAAATGACAAAGGAAGAAAATTTTAAGTTTTTAATAATTGATAGAGATGGATAAAAAAAAAAAATGCTGATGCAAAATACTTACAAAGACTGCGTAAGAAGCGTTTGGCATATTGACTAACCATTAGCGAAGACAGAAATAAAGCGAAGATTAAGAGAGAGTAGTACTAGTAATACTAGGTTTAACAGTGGTTCTGAACGAGCTTGGCGGCGAAAACTCTAGCAGGGTGAAGAGAATAATTTTCAAAGCTAAGGGTATTACAATCATTCAATTAGTTTGAAAAGGTCAAAGTATGATTTTGGGCCTAAGTCTTAAGTCCAACAGATTTTCTAGCTATACATTCTTATCTGTTGCTAGGGTTTTATGCCCAATACCATCAAGCCGTTCCAACAGGGCAGTTCTTAGCTCTGCTTTGGTTGCCTTGTTTCCTTTGGTTTAGGTTTTTTTTAGTTTAGTAATTGTTGTCTGGTTTAACCCCGTCAATGGTTTTGGTTTTGGGTTTTTAAAGGTGGTTTGAGAATGAGATGATGAACTGAATGTTTCCTTATTGGTTTGATTGCCAGCTCTATTTGATCATTCTCTTTATCTTCCCAAATTGACTTTGGTTGGTGTTTTTGACAACACTCTCTGCTTGCAAGATTTTACTGCTTGCTTTCGAATCTCCAAAAAAAAAAAAAAATCTTTCTTTTAAATTGTTTTTCTACATTGTTACTCATTTCATTGGTTTTAGTTTTTCTTTTTTTTTTTTCAATTTGTTTTAACTTGATTAAAATTATTATGAACCAGAGATGGTTTCCAAGCATTTATAAGTTGCATGCAATGATGCATGTGTCACAGGTCGAGAACTTAAACTTAGCAATGTATGACTTTAGATAGGAGTTATGTTTGGTATGCCTAAGTCTTTTTAAGACTATGTTGAAACTTAATTAACCCCTTAAATGTTTAAGAGAATAGGAAGGAAAGAGTTAAGGCAAAAGTACATTATTTATTTATAAATATGCACAATTGCTCTTGTAACACAATGTTTCTATGTGTTTTCTATAATAGCTCTCAATATCTAAGTCTTTAATGTTTCCTCTATTCTAAATGAGGGAAGGGCTCTCCTATTTATACTTGAGCCACTTTAAATAAAAGTCTAAGTATATGATCATTATAGGCCTTCTAACCCATTTCAAGGCCCATAGATTCAAGCTAAGTTGGTTAGGCCATTTTTAAAACTCTATTAGTTCTAGGTTCCCTAATGAGCCTCGAGTCTGGAAGGGTGCTGGCACTTCCTCTAAATGCCTGTGTCTAGCAGCTTTCAGATCATTTTTTGCTTGGGTGTTACTCTACTCACAGCAAAAACCTTTTAGAGTCTTCTTTGTCTAGGCACTATAATGCCTATTATAGTCTTTTGTCACAGTTTGCAAGCTGGTCTAGGCCTAAGGGTTCTCTTTGAGTCAAGTAGTAGTTTAAGTTTTAGTGGGATCGAGTTTGACAACCAAAAGGACCAGGCCCTGAAGGGCATTAAAGGTCCAGGTTGAGGGGAACTAGCCTAAAACAGTGGTACAGGCAATGATTAAGATTTTAGAGGCTTAGGCAAGGTGCTCAAGTTTTGGTAGAATTGAGCTAGGTTTGGGTACGGACGATGGTGATCAATGTGCAAGCGCATAGTTAGACCTAGGTGTGGCCACTGATGAACAAGATAGGAGCACGTAGTTTAACCAAGGTGCAAGCACGGCTAAGGTGCGGGCACAACTGAACACAATCTTGGAAGGATCAGATTTAAGGGCTTTTAGAAAGCCCGTGCTCAACATAATTTCAGAATTTCAAAGATTATGCTGCAATATCAAATCCCCTATAATTAGGGATTATATCATATCTTCTAGAATCAAGGATTTAAATAAGTGTAATCTCTAGTGTTTAAGAATGTAATATCAACACTAATTGTAAGGGGGACTCAGTTATAAAATAAAAAGTCTCTCATCCTCATTGTACACATTAGAACTATTGAGTAATCAAACTTTACTCTTACCTTACTTTCTATTGTTCTTGTTAACCTTTTTTCAAGCATTTCTCATGCCTTTTGTTTTGCAACAGTCTAGGTGGCCAAGCCCCATAGTCTTGAGTGCCCGAGCACCATCTCGAGTTTAGGCTAATATGGGACACAAAAAAGTCTATTCTCGTGTCCTAGAGTCGCACAAGCTTTATTTTGGAATAGGTAGTAAAAACTAATACTAAAGGGTATTGGAGCTTGGTTCAGACCAGAAGTGGTGTCAAAATTTGGTTTTGGAGTAAGGGACAAAACTTAATACTAAAGGGTGTCGAAGCTTGGTTTAGAACAGAGGTGATAATTAGAGCCTTAGTTCAGAGTGTGCAATAGAACCTTACTCGTGATAAGAAGAGCCAGAGTTGGCATTGGTGCAGGTCAGAAAACTTGTTTATGGGCATCTTAGTATGGTGTATAGGCATCGTGTGAGTTATGCAAGCATTCTATTATGTGTGTAGGCATTCGATTATGTGGTATGGGCAATTTGCTATGTGGTGCAAGTATCTTAAAAGGGTTACTATGCTTATGTGCTAGTTAAATGTCCCTGGTGTGCTTAGTACAAATGTGCTAGAGTGTAGAATAAGAGCTCAATAGATTGTTGCTGTAGTGCTATGGGTATCCTAGGTGTGTTGTATAAGTGTGTAGACTAGTGTTTGATTAAGAGTGTAGGGCATGTTGAACCAATGTGTATGCTAGTACCTGATAGTTTAGTGCTGTGCTAGTGTGTCATACTAACAGATTGATATGTTGGTTTACGAGGACCAGAACCAGATCGCTTGAGTGCCTATTAGAGTTAAGGCTATCCTTTGGTTTGTCCATTCATGGTTTAATAATTTATGTGTTTTAGGCTGTGGTATGGCTAGGGAAAACTAGGTAAAGGGCTAGTGTGAGAGCCATGAAGAGTACCTACCTATAGATAAATGGAGGAAGGCTAATGCAAGATATGTGCTAATGGACATTCGATTAGCAAAGTGTAAGGAGACCATTTTTTAGATAACAGATTAGCTTGAAGACATTGAAAGATTCTCGAAAAAGGTAATAAAGAAGCTTATGCAGTGTAATAAGGCATTAGAGTCTATGTTGACAACCTTGCAAGAAAGGGCTAACAAGGCTAAAGGTTGACCATGTTGCATTACAAGCTACTGTGATTATTGGTGCAAGTTTGAGACCCAGAGTGAAGGTGCCTAAGCATTTCATAGATGGTTTGAAGTCATGGATAAAGGTCGATCTACAATGTAAAAATTTACAAAAGTTGAGTTAGGCCAAAGTTGTTATGGAATCAATAACTTAGGTTGAGTGCATTAAATCTCCAAAGTTTAAGAAAAAAAGCATGACTAAGGGAGATATAGGTGATTATTCCTTAAAGAAGGAAAGGGTTACAAAGAAGCCCAAATTTTATAAGGTTGATAGAGGTGCTAGTAAAGGCAAAGAGAAAAGCCATTGATTACTATTTTTGTGTCGATCTATATTGGGTTAGAGAACGCTGAAAGCTTTCAACCATTAAACGAGTAGAGAGGTTGTCTAAAGGTAAAAGTAGTAGTGGTGAACACACCAAAAATAGCATAAAGAGGAGCAACCAGGTGCTATTCGAAATTGTCGAGGGGTTGAAACCTCTCAAGGAGTTGATGAAGAGAAACTGGTGGCAACCAAATACCACAGTATGAGTTCCAAAGTGCAACCAGATTTTTCACAAAAAAATGTGTTTAGACAACTCAAAGAAAGTGTAAGAAATGTAGGCAGTGCAGCTGAAAGAGACCATTGTAGCATAGTGTTGAAAAACTTAAAACCGAAAGTAGAAAAAGTCAGTAGAGTACAAGTTCGGGTAGAGGATCAAAATGTTAGAAAATTGGTTCATGGAGTAAGAGAAGGAACCAACGTATAAGGTGGGTGCATAATTTCCTTAGCAAAGAGGACATTGCTAGAATGAGTGAGAGAAAATGTCATGATCTACAAGTTGATCCAAGCTTCGGGCTAGGGGTTTTCTTCGAATCAAATAACAATTCTAATTTTAACATGATCAAGTCTGACAAATATGGGGACTGAGTCTTGAGGTGCACTGGAGGTTCAGGTCATAGGGAACTAACTTAGAATAGTAGTAAGGGCAATGATTAAGACTCTAGAGGCTTAGGTAAGGAGTTTAGGTTCAGTAGAATTAAGCTAGGCCTAGGTGTGAGTGTTGGTGATCAATATGCAGGCACACAGTCAGACCTTGGTATAGTCACTGATGATCAAATTGGGGGTACGGGATCAGACCTAGGTGTGGGCACAATTGAATACAATCATGGAAGGATTGGATATGGGGGCTTTTAAAATGCTAGATGCTTAGTATAATTCCAAAAGGTCAAATATTGTGTTGCAATATCAAATCCCTTATAACTGAGGTTGAATCATATCTCTTTAGAATCAAAGAATTTAAATCAGTGTAATCCCTAAAATTTAGAAATATAATCTCAGCACTAATTGTAAAAGGGATTCAACTATAAATAGAGAGTCTCTACCCTCACTGTACATACCAGAGCCATTAAATAATCAAACCTTGCTCTTACCTTACTTTTTGTTATTCTTGTTAGCTTTTTCTCAAGCATTTTTTGTACCTTTTATTTTACAGAAGTTTGGGTGATCAAGCCCTACAATCCTAAGTACCTATGCATCATTTCGAGTTTAGGCTAATATGAGATGTGAAATGCATTCCTATGTCCTAGAATCATGTGAGTTTGGTTTCAGAATAGGTGGTAAAACCTAATACTAAAAGGTATCGAAGCCTGGTTCAAACAAAAAGTGGTATCAAAGTTTGGTTTTGGAGTAGGTGGTAGAACCTTATACTAAAGGGTATTGAAGCTTGGTTTAAAACAGAGATAGTAACCAAAGCCTTGGTTCGAAGTATGCAACAGAACCATACTCGTGACAAAAAGAGCTAAAGTTATTATGAAAGACAAAGTTGGTGTTGGTATAGGTCCGGACCTTATGTGCGGGCATCCTTAGTCGATGTGCTAATATTATACTGAGTTATACAGGCATCTTATTATATGTACCAACATTTGACTGTATGGTATGATAGTTTGCTATATAGTACATAGATCCTAGAAAGTTACTATACTCATGTGTCAGTGAAACGCCCCTGGTGTAATAGGTGTGGGCATGTTAGAGTGCAGAACAAGTACTCAATAAATTGTTGCTATGGGGCTGTAGTTGTGTTAGGCATGCTATGTAGGTGTGTAGACTAGTGCTTGACTGAGAATGTAGGGTGTGTTGAGCTAGTGTACAAACTAGTGCCTGATAGTATGTGCAATATTGGTATGCCATATTGACAGATTGGTGTGTTGGTTTGTGGAGATCGAAATTGGATTGTTTAAGTGTCTACTAGAGTTAAGGTAATTCTTTAGTTTGTGCATTCGTGGTTTAACAATTTATGTGT